CGCCCTCCAGCTGTTGCTTGAGGCAGGTGCAAACCACCCAGCACACCATGGGCACGAAGCACATGGTGAACAGGGGCTCGTTGTCCCTCACGAAGTTGAAGGCCAGGCCGGCCTGCTCGGCGCTGGCGAAATACTTGTAGAAGTACTCCTTCCGCTCGGGCTCGCAGAAGCCCAGGATCTCCACGCGCCGGGGATGCTCCAGCAAGCCGTGAAGCTTCTCCAGAGCCATGGGCCGGGTGGTGATGAGCAGGGAAGACTCGGGAAGCAGCATCTTCCGAATCAGGCTGCTCAGGAGGAGCTCCGTGGGCTCCTTCTCCTCCCAGCGGGAGCACCAGGGCCCCTGCGGGTGGTGGAAGGAGGGCTTGAGCTCATCAAAGCCGTCCACAATGAACAGGAGGCGCTGGGGCACCCTGACAAGGTCCGGCAGGGGAACGCTGTGCTCGGGCCAACAGCTGGACACGAGGTCTTGCAGGCTGCGCTGGGCCTTCTGGTTCATCTCCCTGCAGTTGATGTAGAAGAGGAAGTCAAACCGGCCCTGGAAGAGTCTGCCATCGGCCCAGTCCAACATGACCTTATGGGCTAGCATGGACTTGCCCATCCCCGCGGCCCCTTGCAGGACCACCGTGTGGGGCGGCTCAGGGCGTTCTTCGTCCGGCTCGAAGAGGGTCTCTATCTGAATGGGGCTGAGCTGCTGGTCCCTGGTTCTCGGGTGTCTCCCACCGGTGGCCAGAAGCTGCTCCCGGGCCCACATGGGATTCGGGTGTTCCTTCACGAGGAGGAGCCGGGTGTATCGGTGGCTGAGGTTGGCACATTCTCCCAGGCGTGCATTGCGGTCTTCCATCAGCCGGAATTTCCTCCGGATGTAGTCGAGGTAGGTTTCCCGGGCATCTAGTGGAGAGGAACGAAGGGTCCGTTGTCAAGAACCTTAGGGGCCGGCGAGTCAGATCTGACTCGTAGAGACCCTTTTGTACACAGAAGAAAACACTACCCTGGTAGGTGTGGGTGTGGGTGTTGTTAGGGACCATCGAGTGGGTTCTGACCCACAGCGACCTCGTGCGCAACAGAACCCAACACTGCCCGGTCCCTGGCCCTCCTCACAATGGTTCCCACTGCTGCAGCCAGGGTGTCCATCCATCACATCACACCCTCCTTTTCTCTGTCCCTCCACTTTACCAAGCGCGATGTCCTTCTCCAGGGACTGGTCTCTCCTGATAACCTGTTCAACGTATGTCAGATGAAGTCTCACCATCCTTGCCTCTAAAGAGCACGCTGGCCTACTTCTTCCGAGACAAATCGGTTGAGCAAAAGATAAATACCTTCAAGCCAAAACCTCACCGCCACCGAGTCTATTCTGACTCACAGTGACCCTCTAGGACAGGGCTGAACTGCCCCTGTGGGTTCCTGAGACGGTCACTCTTTAGGGGCACACAAAGCCCGGTCTTTCTCACTCGGAGTGCCTAGTGGTTTCGGACCATTACCCTTGGAGATTTAAGACCAAGGTGTAACCACTACACCACGAGGGCTCCTTGATAGATAGTCTAGGCATTCCAAAACTCACTGCTATCAAGCCGATTCCATCCATAGCTATAGGACAGAATAGAATGGTCCCTTTGAGTTTCTGAGACTCTGAGTCTTTACAGGAGCGGAGAACTTCCTCTTTCTTGCATGAAGTGAAGAGTGGATTTGTACCACTGGCTTCAATCCATAGCCCACTGGAGCACCGAGCTCTATTGGTGAGCTGAAAGGGACTGGTATGTACCTCTCTAAACAGGACGGTCCTATGTTCTACCATCCTGGGGATGAGGAAACAGAGAGGGACAGCAACACGCCCGTCATCAGAAAGAACCCGTCAAGAGCTATCTTGAAGTACGAGGCTGTCAGCTGCACATTAATAAGAGCAAAGGACCGATGTCTTTGTTTCATGGTGCTGGAGAAGAATATCTGAAAGTACACAGATCCGTCTTGGGGGGAAGTAGAGCCTGAATGCTCCCTGGAGGCAAGGATGGTGAGCCTTCATCTCGTGTACTTTGGAAATGTCACCCCAAGGGACCAGTCTCTAGAAAAGGACATCAGGACCAGACAAAAAGAGGAAGAAGCTTCCTGAGACGGACCAACACAGTGGCTGTAACAATGAGCTCAAACATAACGTTTGTGAGAATGGCGCAAGGCCAGGCTGGATTTGGTTTTGCATCACAAGTTGGAAACTGCTCAATGGGA